GGCCAGGGCTCCTTCAACTCATTTAAATCTCTCCTAAAAAGTCACCTCCTTGGAGAACATTTCTAACTATCCTTTCTAATAGTGAAACTTCATCATCTCTTTCCCTTACTCATCTTCATTTTCCTCTCTTGAACTAAGCAATTACTTGTTATACATTTTGGCATATGTGATTTATTATTATTATTATTATTATTGAGGTATAGTTGACATATAACATTAGTTTCAAGTGCACGATTTGATATTTGTATATATTGCAAGATGATTATCAAAATAAGTCTAATATCCATCACCACACAGTATAAAAAAAAATTCTTTTTTCTTAGGATGAGAACTTTTAAGTTCTAACTCTTAGCAACTTTCAAATATATAATACAGTATTATTAACTACAGTCAACATACTGTATATTACATCCCCATGACTTATTTCTTTTATAACTAGAAATTTGTACCCTTTAACCTCCCTTCATCCACTTCCCCCACCCCAACCACCAATCTAGTCTATGTATCTATGAGCTTGTTTTCTATTCCATATATAACTAAGATCATATGGTATTTGTCTTTATCTGTCTGACTTATTTCACTTAGCATAATGCCCTCCAGGGCAATCCATGTTGTTGGAAATGACAAGATTTCATTCTTTTTTTTTTTAACATATTTTTTTCCTTTATTGATTTTAGAGAGAGAAGTGAGAGAGAGAGAGATAGAAACATCGATGAGAGAGAACATCGACTGGCCGCCTCCTACATGCACCCCACTGGGGATTGGGCCCACAATCTGGTCATGTACCCTGACCGGGAATCAAACCTGCGACCTCTTAGTGCATGGCTCGACGCTCAACCACTGAGCCACACCAGCCAGACTAGATTTCATTCTTTTTGATAGATGAATAATATTCATTGCATATATGTCCCACATTTTCTTTATCCAATCATCCACTGATGCTCACCTACACACTGCTTCCATATCTTGGCTATTGTAAACAATACTGTCTTTAGATCCACCACTGTATCCTTAACCTCTCATACTACCTGGGGAACAGTAGGTGCTCACAAAGTATCTGTTCAATGGATTCACCAGGAAAACTAACATTTTCAACAACCAAGTATTCCGAAGAGATATAAAAGAGGCCTGTGACTCAACCAGTCTCTCAACTGTAACACTAGTCATTGACGTAGTGTTAAACAGCACACTTGAGGTTACCAGTAAAACGCCAAAACACAGACTGTATTTAATGCATTTCCAGCATAACATGCTAACATATGGCAAGCATAAGCATTATTTCATCTCTGTTCTAAAAATACAACTTATACAACTTGGTCTAACATTTTAAAATTTAATAATTAATCTGAATTTTTACTGAATTTTAGAATTTATAGAAGAAATTCTTGGTGTTTCACTCAGACTGTTTCCGTCACACTCGTGATACTCTAGGAACACAGAATAAGCCAAGTTTTTATTACCACAATTAGAACAGCATTGCATATATTGGGCACTAAATAAATGCTCATTAAATAAAATTAACAAATACTAAAATATTACAGTTATATAAAATATGGCTTGTTATATAATTTTCAGAAGGCTAATCGATGACAAATTATACAAATTTACTGTGAAATATGTTGCTCTAAAACTTTTATGGAGAAAGTACTTCTTCTAAGGTGAAAGAAAATATACCCAAGATGTACAATTGATTCATAAACCAGGTTTCTTCTGTCTTGCTGCATTTATGGTCAACATTATATGATTATGTAAGTATACATACTTAGCTTTAGATTGCTAATACTTAAACAACCCATATTATTCTAGATATCTTTTTTATCAGTTAATATTACAGGGTTGTTTAGTACAATGAGAAGGAAAATTGTTTTCCCAATCTCCTATGTTCTCAACCTCTTTGTACCAGCACTTTCTTCTCAGAATCTTTCTCAATTGCAATCAATTCAATTCTGTGATCTAGTCTAACTACCATCTCCTCTCTCCCTTCTTCACTGCAAGTTTCTTGAAAGAGTAACCAAGAGTAACCAAAGCTGATCACCACCACTTCCTTCTCTCACCATCATTTCTCAATCTGTAGCAATCTGGATACTTCCCTCAACCTCCTATTAACCTGTTCTCACCAATGTCATTCCTGCTAGTGGCTCAATTCAGTCAGTGTTTTTTGATCCTTAACTTGCTTTATGCTCTGCAGCTGTCCTGTCCAATACTGTGGTCACTATCCACATGTTACTACCGAGTACTTCAAATATAGAGTACAAACAAAGGAAGTTAATTTTTTAAAATTCTAATTAAATATAAATTTAAAATTTGACACTTGATTCAATTATAGGTTTCTTTGGAATAATTTGTGTATATGAACCTACTTTTTCAACTATAAATTTTATGAAACTTAAATACAGATAAAAAATTTTCAATAAAAATTTAGCATCTGAATTAAGATGTAACATGTAGATAGATGTAAGCATAAGTATAATATACACACTGGATTTCAATGATTTAGTATGAAAAAATACTCTAATAATTTTTATATTAATTATATGTTGAAATGATAGTATTTTGGGACATATTGGGTTAAATAAAATTATTAAAATTAATTTCACCTATTTATGTTTCTTAAAGCAGCTACTGGGAAATTTAAAATTATCTATGTGTTATGTTATTTCTACTGGACAGTGCTGCACTACAGCATTAGATTATTAGAATGAATGCTACTCATTCCTCCTTGAAACGCTGCTACTACCTTTTACTTCTTTCGCTCCCCATTTCTAGTCTGCAGTGTAGCTTATTCTTCCACCCACTCCTTAAATGCCAATGTCTCTCAAGATTGTCCTGAGGCCCTTTCTAGGGACTCTCCCTAGGTGACTTCACTCCCACTCAAGGCGTCCACTATTCCCTTACACTGGTAACTGTGAAACCTTTATTTGCAAATCAGCTCGCTCTCCTGAGAACAGTATTTACAACTGTACCATATCTAAGTACATCTGCACTTAATCTGCCATTACAACTTTTGGATATTTACCTTATTAATATCATAAATTAGGCTCCTTTCATCCATTTCATTTAGGTCCTCACAATTTCTCACCTTTACCACTTCACTAGTTTCCAAAGTACCATCCTTGCCACCTTCCAAATCAATTTCCTTATGCTGTTAAGTTTTTAAAATTCACACCTGGCCACATGATTTCTCTGTTCAAAATACTTTGGTGGTTTCCTCACTGCCTTCAAGATAAAATAAAAACGTCTTATAATCATACATAACTCTTGGTGCTTACCTGTCTCTCAGGCTTTATGCTTCATCGCCAACCCTATAAAATCCCAACCTCAAGTATGTCTAAGTACCTGCAGGCTCCTGAATGCAACATTTGCGTTCTCACCACCACACTTTCTTTGCATATACTCTTTCTACTGACAGCAATATCACTCCTAAAACTCTATCCCTGCTCTCCTAGTCATCCTTCAAAACTCAGCCAATGTATCATCTCCCCTAGGAAATGTCTCCAAACTCTGAAGTCTGAGCAAGGGTCTCTCCGCTGTGTTACCATCATACCTATTTACAGCTCTACTAATAACCCAACACACTGCCCTTGGATGATCTGGCCAGTCCGTGAATTCTCTGAAGGTAGGAATGAAGTGATGAAGTGTTTTTACTTTATCTCTCTATAAGTACCTATTAATAAACAGACAGTACATTAAATAAGAGAAACCCACAAAATAAAATGCAAGGCCAGACATTTTTAAATGGGCTAACAGAGTCATGAATGAAATAAAGAAAGTTAACGACAATTATCCTTAAAAAAAAAAATACTTTAATTAGATGGTCTATGTCAGGATGTACTGAGCTAGGTAATAGAAAAATATATCCTAAATAATAATAAAAATATCAAATACTCAACAGAAGCAACAATTTAAAACATTAAAGACTAAATACGTTATCCTATAACCTTGTTTTTCATACCATTTTATCCCTAATTCTACTTATCAATTCCTTTCTTCAGCTCCTTACATTAATTTTCCTTCCAATTAAATTCTGCATTCTTTCCTTCCCTTACACAGTCCTTTTTACTTCCACCATCCCTGTCCCTTCCATTCTTCTTTCAATTAACAGGAAATTACAAATAGTGACTTTGTCATCTCTGTTTGCAATTTTGTTTTAAACAAAGCAATGGTCAAAAAGCAGTGAATGAAATTATATCACCAGTCAGGTTGATAGACAAAACCACATGTTTTAATCTGCGTGGGTGATTTCATACTAAGCAGTAATCTGAACCATATGCATACTAAGTGGAGTCTGACAGACATCAGCAAGTCCTTGGGGTTATGACAGCAGGACAGTGGGAAGTAAGAGATAAGAACAGCCAACTTGCTGGTGGTGAGGGCACCCCAGCGCAGCCTCACATATTCTACAACTTGTGCCTGCTCTTCAAGAGGAAGCAGAAACAGACATGGGGAATGCAGGGAGCTGTCAGCCATCTGGACTAGCACAGCTGAGTAACCAACTTGATGGTGTGAGCTACAGCAGCTAGTCTAACATACTGGTCTGGGTACCAATTTGGGGACATAAAATAAAGACTACTGTTACCAGGGAACTTCTGAATTTTAGTTTTACTACAAAATAAATTCTGAGAGAGGCAGAGAAGTACCTGGAGAGGAAGTACATAATTACAGTATTTAAACTAGGTTGTAGGGAGAAACAACTTTTTGAAGGATAGCAACTGCTAGAGGGAAACAGAGTACATTCTTTAAATTACCTGAAAGTAACTTTTCAAATCCACTCAACACTAGATTTTGTAGGAATGGAAAAGTTCACCCTAAAGACCAAGGTCTTACAGAATTCACAAACAAAAATGTAATCTCTTGAATAACCTGACACTTAGCAAGACAATGTAACAGTAAAGCATATGTCTGAAATGTTTCTAAAACATCTTAGAACTAGACTGCCAGAGTAGCATCTTTAAAGAGTCAATTTAATTCAAAGCAGTGCAGGGCAAGATTTATTCTCTTACCCGTGTCCAGGAGTTAAGTTTTGATTCTCCAGAATTCTGTGGTTCTTTGTTAATCAGACAACATAAGCACCATATTAGAATTTTTTGGCTTTCGTCTGCAAGAAGAAAAACTAAAATGAGTAGGTTTAATTAAATACAAGGAAAGATAGTCAGTATAAAACAATTTAAACATTTTATGTACAGGAAATATATTTATTATATTTTAGGAAAATTTCAAACTACTAAGTTCACAGAACAAGCATCCAGGACCATGTGTGAAACAACTTTGTGGGTTTTTTCTTCTTGTGGGCTTGGGATCACGTACGCTTAGCCCTTGTGTGGTCAATTCCTGTTCTATTACAGCAGCAAATTTTAAAGCCAAAAGAGAATGATGGAAAGAACTAAAAGAAATGGGTTTTTCTCAAGATCAGTTCTTTATTTTTCATTTCAAACCATTAGTAGTTTCAACCTTTTGAAGGCAACATAATTGTTATAGGCAGTACTTAATACTTTAGACTTAATCTTTTAATTTTCTAATTTGCCAAAATACCCTCTCCTGTTAAAAACAAATTTAACAAAAAGACTGTTTAATAGCAAAATGTTTGGATAAGCTAGAAGCCTCTTAATGTGCTCCTAATTCTTTACTCTATAAAATTTAAAACTTTACTGAATATGTGATGAAAATGCTGAACTTGGAAATCTTATATTCAATGGAAATATCTATTTAGAGAGCCATTTATTTCTCTTTTGGAAACTGAGTCCATTCCAGCTGGAAACTGTGTAATAGGCCTAAAAAGCAAAGACTAAAGATGTCAGTTATCTGAACTAGAGCCAAGCAACTATGGACTTTATCACAAGGCCATGGAGGTGAGACTGAGGAAACCCTGTACCTGGAATCAATCCTCTGCAGAGTCACCTGATGCCCTTGTTGGAAGAGAAAAATAAAATTTCCTTCAACACTTCTAAATTCTTCTCTCTGGACTAATAATCAAATTAATGAGAGACAGATTAACAGGAGAAAATGACCAAATTTATTATGTATGTACAAGTAAGAAAATGGAACCTAAGGAGAAATTGGGCAGTTAAGGCTCATATGCCATCTTGAGCTAAGGAGAAGGAGGTGGCGATTATGGTCTTGGACTTTAAAGGAGAGGAAGAAAACTCACATGGAGATGGAAAAGCAAATGTTTGGTAAATAAATGTTTGCTGGACTATCTTTAACAATGGAATACAGAGAGGACTTTGATCAAAGGGTCTTACTAGGTCCCTCCTTTTCTATCACACTTAGTTCATATAAAACTACAGCTATCTGTGATAATAGCTTCCTTCCTGGAGCAGGTTCTCTATCTAAATTCTTTTAGTAGTTGGGGGAAGGTCAAAGTTTTTTTTTTCTAAGTCTTTTATTAATTAAAAATAGCCAGCTTAGCCCTGGCCAGTTTTGCTCAGTAGTTAGAGCATCGGCCTGCAGTCCAGAGAGACCTGGGTTAGGTTCCCGCTAAGGGCACGTACCTAGGTTGCAGTTTGTCCCTGGCCCTGGTTGGGTCGTATGGGTGGCAACCACTCGATGTGTCCCTTTCACATTGATGTCTCTCTCTCTCTCTCTCTCTCTCTCTCTCTCTCTCTCTCTCTCTCTTTCCCTCCCTCCCTCCCTCTCTCTCTCTCTCTCTCTCTCCCTCCCTCCCTCCCACTCTATCTGAACAAAAAATGAAAAAATGTCCTCGGGTGAGGATAATAAATAAACAATTAAACAAACAAATAAATAAATAACCAACCAGCTTAAAATAATCAATATTCCAAAAGGCATGTTCTGGGGTGGTAAACCCTGTTTCTCCTCACCCTTTACCTTCTTATCTTCTGCAATCTCATAAACACAGTATTTCTAAGGGATTTGTTAATAAGAAATAAGGGCAATACAAACTACAGAAAGCTACCTCTGCATTTCAACTGCACACCAAAAAACACCAACAGTATTTTTTGAAACCATTTTTCCCCATAAAAAACTATAGGCTTATAGTCTTCTAATAACTAACATCTCTAAACAAACATCCTCAGAAGTTATTCAGAGGGACATTCACTTTTTTCCCTCATTTTTATGACCTCAAATACAGCACTGACCTACCTGAGATCAATTTATTTCAAAAATCATATCATTTAACCTCTAATGACCCTAGGGTTCTTCAGATTAAACCAATGTCAATGATTAAAAATGTGACTATTATATGCCCTACGCTTTAAATATTAGAAGAAATTCCATCTTCATGTCACAAGTGTGACTGACACATCCAATGATAAGCTTGAGACAGAACAGAAAGACATTAGAAAAAACTCCAAACAAGTGGAATGAGGAAGTAAGAGCATTTATCACAGGCTAATATGCTGCTAGTCAGGTCCTCTCATCAGAGTCCCCACTTCCACACAAGATCAAAGTGAAACAGTTTATTGCAGGAAACTATTGTGGTGGTCACAGAAGTCAATAGCAAGGACTAGCTAAAACCAGATCAATCCAAGATGGAAGAAAAATTGACCAGAGACTGACCCCAAAGCTCATTATACCATTGTTATGATGAAAACTGATATCACAAATAGAATGGGGGGCCCAGGGAGACAAACACCATGACATTTCCAGAAAGAACCATGTTAGGGACAAGGCTCTCTCTCAGCTAGAAGGCAAAAACTGAATTTGGTGCCACAGTGCTATGACAATTCCAGAACAGACCATATTAGCAACAAGACTCTGTCCCAACTCAAAGGCAAAGACAGAATTTAGCACCGCAAAGTTCAGAACCTGAAAACACATAAAATCCCAGAAACTGACCACAGGGCACAACTCACAAGTTTACTAGTGTCAACTGAGATGTATATTTTCACTTCTTTCACAGACATGCCCTGTGAGACTTGCAACCAGGGGACAGTGGGTGGTGGCAGCCAATCTCAGGCTCAACCCCTGATCCTGTTTCCAGAAACCCAAGTCCTAACCTCTCACTTTCTCTACATAAATAAAACTTGCTTTCACTCTCACTCCAACTCATTCTTGAATTCTTTCCTGCTGGAGTCAAGAGCCTGGAGGCCCCAGACCATGTCAGGGTGGAACCCTGGTTCGGAACTGGTCCAGTTGACAAGTTTACACAAGCAGCTTCCCAGGTTAAAAAAGAATTTAACCTGATGGGGAGCATTTCCAAAAATTGGACATTTAACACTCTCCCCTCCCCCATAAGAAGAAAATGAAAACGTTAATTTATTGAGCTTAAATCTTAAAGAATCCAAAAAAACTGGAGTGTCTCCCAGGTGTTGAGAGAGTCCACATATTTAGTTCAACAAGTATATTTCTTTTTCTCTCAAAAAGAAAAAGAAAAGCCAAAGAAACTTTCACCCAACCTGTAGGAGGTGACTTCCTTTGCCCTGAGTAAATGCACAGAAATACATTGAAATGGCCTGCTAATGAGCTTCCTTTGTTTTAGGAATTTACATATGCAAGCCATCACTGTTATTCATGAATGCCACAAGCACCCCACAGGGGGTGGCATCTATCAGGATCCTCCCTGGAGGCCCTGACTTTGGGACTGGAGCATCCAGCCAGGCAATCAAGTGAGATGGGAAACTGGCTGGGATTCATCATGGGGGCAGTCACAGACAGCAGATCTTGGTGCAAAGTTGGATTCTGAAAGAGTGCAAGTGAAAGGAATACACCAACATATATTTGCCACATAACATTTTATGTTTTGATATCTTAAACTGAAATTTCAAATAAAACTAAGTTAATTCTGTAAACTTTAATTCAACAGTTTAAAAGCATGAAGGCAGTATTTTTTGAGACAATAAATATTGTTTTAAGCTGCCAAGTTTGGGGGCAAATTGTTAAACAGCAATACATAGCAAATAGTGAGGAAGAGACTGTAGCTGTTATGTTTAATTATGAGGGCAAAGCTAGAAGCAAGGATTCCAAGGAGGTAAAGGAAGTAATTTTATGCAGAGAACACCATTAATAAAAGGTGTCTTCCTGCCCTGGCCGGTTTGGCTCAGCGGTTAGAGTGTCAGCCTGGATCAGAGAGTCCAGTCCGGGTTTGGTTCTCGCCAAGGGCATGTACTTCGGTTGCAGTTTGTCCCTGGCCCTGGTTAGGGTTGTGTGGGTGGCAACCAGTTGATGTGTCTTTCTCACAAAGATGTTTCTCTCTCTTCTTCCCTCTCTCCCTCTTGCTCTATTTGAAGATAAATGCAAAAATGTTCTCGGGTGAGAAAGGAAAAGGAAAAGGAAAAGGAAAAGGAAAAGGAAAAGGAAAAGGAAAAGGAAAAGGAAAAGGAAAAGGAAAAGGAAAAGGAAAAGGAAAAGGAAAAGGAAAGGAAAAGGAAAGGAAAAGGAAAAGGAAAAGGAAAAGGAAAAGGAAAAGGAAAAGGAAAGGAAAGGAAGAAAAAAGGTGTCTTCCCCATTCTATAATTAACTATTTTGTCTCTTTTCTTTCTGGTGTCTTCATTTCCAAATACTTCTTCCATCCTTATTATCCTTATTTCTGATCCTGTTCTCACTTAATATTATGGGAGACTTCTTTTCTTAATGAAAACTGTTTACTTTTACTGTATTTATAAAGTTATTTTGATATTATGTGATTGTAAAAAAAGACCCTTTCCTGAAAGACAATGGCCAACCAGTGAAACAATAGCATAAAGTTCTTCCGTGCCTGTCAATATTCTCTGTGAGCTCAAAATCAAAGGTGTTCCTCAAACAGGAAACTGAAATTTAACCAGAAGTTCAAAAGGCAACACAAGCACTGAAACAGAAAGAGATGGAGAATTTGTTTCTGGCTGTTTTGTAATGAAGAGAAAGTGCTAAGGAAAGATCACAGACTGATAGAAGTGTAAGACAATAGTGACCTGGGCCCCAAGGCTAAGGCCACTAGATTCCATTCTTATGGAGGCCTCTTGGTTTAGGCGACTAAATAACTCCATTTTTATCATCAATTGACTTTCCTTGATATTTTTCCAATAATAGGTTAATTATCCCTAGAAGTAAAGGAATTTTGCCTAAGGTTATAGTTGCCCACATGTTGGGAGGCATTTGCAGTTTTCTAGTGTTGGTATTATTTGCAGGCATTTGCAGTTTCCTATCAGTAATTGCAGGCAT